ATCAAGCGACAAAGTATGAATCACAACATGATGAGATTGTTCAGGTAAATTAGATATAACTTCTGCGGCTTGAGAAGTTTTTCAACTCTGTAGTTTTCCTGTTATTTGACAACATTTTGCTGCATTGGCAGGTCATTGGCAATTTGAAAACTGTTCAAGATGCTTTGTTCCAAATATTATGCAGGCTTCGGGAAGCAATGTTTCCTGGAAGACTTCCCTTTCAAGGACTGGGTGGTCCACCTCCGCCGTTCATGGGTCCGTATCCAGAACCGCCTCCTCCATTTGGACCGAGACAATATCCAGCTTCTCCAGATCGTTACCATTCTCCAGTAGGATCATTCCATGGTATTTCATCAATTTCCGACCCATGATCACCAGTTGATTCATGCATCTATCTCAGTTCTTAATAATGTCTACTTATTACATATGATCCAGAGAGGCATTGTCATGGTCCTGGATTTGATAGGCCACCTGGTCCTGGATTTGACAGGCCACCTTCCCCAATGTCTTGGACCCCGCAGGTATGTGAACTCAATGATCGTTATTCCTTCTTTAGCTGTCATGTCCTTTTTTTCTTTCTAATTCAACATTTCTCAATTGTCAGCCGGGAATCGATGGCCATCCCGGTGGTATGGTTCCTCCTGATGTGAACCATGGGTTTGCTTTGAGAAATGAGCCTATTGGCAGCGAGAATCCAGCAATGACAAGCGCAAATGTTGAGATTGTGATTCCTCAAGCATACTTAGGCCATGTCTATGGTGAGAACTGCAGTAACCTGAATTACATCAAGCAGGTAAGTTGCCGATAATATATGAGCAGATGATTGTTTTGAAACGCTGCATCTGATTACAGCTTGTAAAACAAAACAAACAGGTATCAGGAGCGAATGTGGTTGTGCATGATCCAAAGGCAGGGGCTACAGAAGGACTGGTGGTTGTCTCGGGTACCTCGGATCAAGCTCACTTTGCTCAGAGCCTTCTTCATGCTTTTATTCTCTGTGGTCAATCTTGATTGCTCTTATGTCAAATTGTTTAAAATTTTAACATGATAGTCAAGTAAGAAGCTCTTCTACAAATCAAAAAATCATAGGAAACAGTAAAGTACTTCTACTAATTGCTGTGGCAAAAACTTTGTCCTTCTGTTCTGTATCTGTTATCGAAACTTATACAACAAATTGTGCCTTAAACTTTGTTGTAATATAATAACAAATTCCATTTTAGCAGAAACTGTCTACTAAACCTTAATCTGCTGACCAAACTTCCTCTGGCGTAGTGCAATTGTTGGCTTACGCGGATCATTCCGTGCCACAATTTTAAGCGGATGAGCTTCTGTGTTGAAAACCCACTCGTCTAATGAAATAACTGATGAAGGCGAAAAAAGAAGATAGAGGTACTTAAGAGTCTCAGCTAAGAAGAAGCTTTGCATCTTGTTGTCTTTAGCACCTGTATTGACCTGAAAATGAAGAAGCAAACGTTAACAACGTGTTTCCGAAAGATGGAAAGGCCCTTTCGAGGAGGGCCTATGAGAAGAAGAAACTTACATCCTTCAAGCCTACGTATCCAGATTCTACGCGAGAGTTCTTCTCAAATGCTTCGAATATATTCCATCCCCACTCTTGATATGTCTTGTTCCCAGTTAATCGCCAGAGGTAAAACAGCGATTCAACGGTTTCTGGTCTTAAAATGTTCCAAGATGTTCCAACACTCATGTCCTGAAACAATCATGTGCTTGTAGATATGACAAAACCACCCAACTAACATACAAACAGATGGCGCAAAATATACCAAGTATTAACCAACCTGCCCTGCAGTGAAGAAATAGTTCTCTCCAGCGAGTTTCGTTGGTGTCGATTGGTAAAAGTTATAACAAGTCCAGGCAAGCTGCAGTAAAGTGGGGAGAAACATCAATAAGTAGACATCAGAAAGTTTTACTAAAAGCTCTAAATACAATTGAGATTCTAAGGTACCTCTCCAGCGAGTGAAAGAAACTTTTTTTCTTCATCAGGGCCATAACCTGAAGCTCCTAAAGCCAACATTCCAGGAGCAAAGCACGCCAATTCATCCATCTGAATGTTGAAAAATGTCAAAACCAACAAAGTTTTCAAAGTAGAGCGTTGAAATCAGAATAGTTTTTACCTTATCGATCAAATTATTTCCGTTCTTCTCGCATATATATGTAAATGATGAAGGTGTTGATTTCTTGACCAAGCTTAACAAACCTTTCATTGATTTCTCCCACATATCTCTGATTCATTGCATTAAGAAAGACTTAGTTGTTATCATTTTTGTTACTATTTAAATACTTGGGTATATATATACAGCGTCGAGCTTTACTTACCTATAGGGTTTCACCGCGGATGTTTTGTTCCCTTGCACCCAAACTTTGAGCAAATACTCATAAAAGCTGTAAAACCAAATTATTATTAACTGTTACAGAGCAAAGTCAAGGTCCAAAGACCCAACCAACACAAAATAAAATTTGGTGGAAGAAACTACCTATCCCCCATGGCACCAAATGTTGTGGTAGAGTACGATGGATTAGCATTATCCGGATTTATATAGATGGGAAGTAAACCATCAGCAGGAAAGTTCTTATTCAGTTCTGTAATAACCTTCTCTACCTGAGAGACACGGTTACACGTGTCAATCTTGAGCAACAAATGATTTCTTCAGCATTAAGAAGACATTACTAATGCAGATTGAACAAACTCAAAATTAGTATCTACCTTCTGCTGATATTTCGGGTCCCCTGTCCTTTGGGAAAGGGCAATAAACTCGAGCTGCTCAGTGCCGGAGTCTGCAAGAATACTGTCTCCCTAGTACAGCAAAAAAAATAAAGTAAGAATCAGTAAAACTGACAGAGCACATGTACTCAATGAAACTGAAACATATCTAAACCTGATCACACTTGGTACCGATTTCCAAGACCATGGGTGTGATTGCTAGTGAAATAAAATATAGTCTTTTACCATCAACTCTAAAAGCAACACCTCAAACAAGAAGGTTAATTGTTGCATACAGAAAAACCAGAACTTGGCTGTTTCTGGCGAGTCCAGATCTAAGTTTTTATACGGGGCTGAAGCATCTAAGAAAGTGGTCAGAACTAGGTTTTAAGCTATCAATAGACTCTGAGGGGTCCTTTAGATACATAATCAGGAAATGAGGTCAACTAAAGAACAAGTGCACACAGTTGCCATAGCAAATGGCCATTATCTGTAAGATTTGCATCCAATGTAAGGCTTTAAAAAGATCTACATGAAAAAGTAATATCTTGTTCACAAGATGACACAATACAACAGACAGGGCACTCAGTAATCTAGGACTCACCCCTGCCGCCCATGAAGGATTGTGAGCATTTCCATTTCTCAAGTTGATAATATTGTAAGGTATACCCGTGGGAGTGTTCCATGCAGGCAATAATCTGTCTGCAATATCCTTAGCCTTTTCAAGGAACATTTTGTCTCCAGAAAGATCATATGCACTAAGAAGTCCGCCTACAACTCTGAATGCAAATAAAGCATAAGCAGATGCAATATCCATTCCACATCTTATGTCACCAACTCATACCGAAAATGAACTGACTCTTCCTACGATAAATACAGAAAACAACCACAGTAAACCTGTTAAAGCCACCTTATGGTTGTCTCAAACATACTGGCGTCATAATCCTTGTCAAAATCCAATGAGCTTGCAACCCACCTGAAAATAAAAGACTATAAGCAAATGAAGATTGGCAAAGATGGACAAGTAAAAAATTGGATTTGCAACTGGGACGAGAACAGTTATACACATAATTATGAAGAGCCTGCAATTACTTACTCTCTGGCTTTTTGAAACTGCTCATCTAGACCCATTATATAGAGTGTATCTAAAGAATCTACCATAGTTGCTCCAAGGCCACCAAAGCTATCAGTGCCATCTTTTGTTCGAGGCTGACAATAAAAAAAAAAAAGGAAAGAAACAAGAATAGCTTCAGACCAATAGATTTTTTGCAGAGTGCAGGGAGAAAAATAATCTTAGTTCTTAACAAAAAAAACTTGCAGGCCTATGGAAAGTGCGGTAACTTCAGATAAGCTCATAATAAAAGGGTCAACACGATATTAAAAGAGCAGGCACTAAATGTTATGATCAGTTACTAGATTATGTATTGGCAAGGGTGAAAAGTATATTGGAAAGTAATTGTATACCTGAAGCTCATCTTTTCCCCATGCATACTTTTCATAAGAGCTCCAAGCATGGATCATTGCCTCTTTTACTTTCTGCCTTCGCTGGATATCAACTGGATTTTCTGGGACATTCTTCAGATTCTTCAAAGGCTTATCGTCGCCAACACCTTTAAGCTCTTCTAACTAGCGGAAAATATAGTTAGTTAGCTAAAACAGTAGAAAGACGATCGGAGTCTAGACTCTAGAGTGAGAGGAAAATATCAATCTTACCATCTGCTCCAACCGTGAAACTTCTCCATTTAACTTTAAAACTTCAACCTGCAACACAGCAAAAGAGAATGATCACAAGAGAAATCATTCACTTCCTTGACATTTTTCTTATTTTGGTTACATAGCTTCTTATGAAGGAATTGATGAATTGAGTCCACAAATACTTCATTATAGACCTGAAGACACCAACCGTCTTACTTATAGACCTTAAGCTATGAAGGCAATTAAAACCATTCCAGGCCTAAATCATAACCTACCAGTAAGCTATGATACAAGAACTGTCTCCTAATTCTAGACAGAGTCTATCCAGATTTCATGAGACAAAAACATACCTCATGTTCTCGGGCAAGATTTATACGATCCCAAACAAGCATAGAAACAGAGACGAAGACAATGAAAAGCAAAGCCAAACGTCTTGGTCTTCTAAGATAATACGCAGGATTCAAATATTTCCATATCCCATAACCACTAATCGATCTACTTCTCGCCATTTCTTCTCACCACACTTCAACAAAAACAGAGACCAATTGAGAAATCAGTTTCCATGAAACAGAGAAAAGCTTTTAAATTTCTTGATCCGAAAGAGTAAGAAACAGAGAGAGAAAAGAAAGAGATAAGCTTTCTCTCAAAGAACCAAAGTTATAGATCCGATTTAAGTTTACTAGTAGGAATGAGGAAGACGAAGAAAGCATAAAAAACGAAACTTTAACCAAAAAAGAAAAAGTATTTATTTTATTTCTCCGGCACTTTTGGTTATTTATTCTTTTGATAATAAAATAATAAATCGAGTCTCTTTAGCCCTCACTGGTTCTCACCTTCTTTCTCTCTCTCTCTCTCTCTCTCTCTCTCTCTCTGGTTTCGATTTTCGTCTCCATCGTCTCGTTGGTGTTCTGGTGGTTTTGATTTGTCTCTGTTCTTCTATTTGTGGCGTTATTCATCGGTTCAATTGTCATCTTCATCGTTTCCTTCGTGTTATTTGGTTTTTCTCGTTTTGAGTCTTTCGAACATCTTTCATTCTTCTCTTTTGGTGTTGCTCCTTACGACTAGGTAACATCATCTTTACTCTTATTTGGTTTCGTGTGTCGTAATGATAAAGCTATATTTCAAGAGTTTTGGATGTGGCTTTGTTGCAGGATTTGCTTTTGTTTCTTAGGGTTTTATTTTGTTTGTTGAAATTTAAGAGTGAGTTTATGGAATTGGTCTGTGTTAGGCTTAGAGCGTGGAAAGCTACAAACTTTGGATTCGATCTGATTGATACAAATATTCTCTGTTTCTCGCTAATTCTAACTTGTTTGAAGTCTGTGTTAATCTCTTGAAAACAAACATTGATCCATATGATGTCCTGAATTTCTCGATAATGTTAGTTATAACTTATTTATGTGAGTTCCTCCGATGATCGAGGAAGAAAGGTTATAGTATGTGAATTATGTATTGCTTAGAGCTGATTTGATATGGCTGGTCATCCATGAATCGTGCTTATTTGCTCTATTAGGTAAATTGATGAATAGCAACCATGGATGACCTACATGGAAGCAATTCTCGAATGCAACACATTGGAGAAGCTCAAGATCCAATGCATGTGCAATATGAACATCATGCTTTGCACCACATCCACAATGGAAGCGGTATGGTTGATGACCATGCTGATGATGGCAATGCTGGTGGGATGAGTGAGGGAGTGGAAACAGACATTCCTTCTCACCCTGGAAATATAACTGACAATCGTGGTGAAGTGGTTGACCATGGTAGTGAACAAGGAGATCAGTTGACATTGTCGTTTCAGGGCCAAGTCTACGTTTTTGATAGTGTCTTACCTGAAAAGGTGAGATATGTTGTTACTGAGTTGGTTCGTTGATTGTCTCATTTTATTATGATTCTATATATTTACTATTAAGCTACACTGTAGCATCTGGTTGAAGGATCTACTTAGCTTTTTGTTTTCCATCTATTGAGTCTAATGTGTGAGTGCCTCGCTTTATTTTTGACGCCTGCTGCAGGTTCAAGCTGTGCTCCTATTATTGGGTGGACGTGAATTACCTCAGGCAGCCCCTCCCGGCCTAGGATCACCTCATCAGAACAATAGAATATCGGTAATAAAATATATGATATTTATGGGACATAAGTTCCCTTCCTTGATGCAGTGCTTGACTGACTGGCTAATCAATGAAACAGAGCTTACCTGGCACTCCTCAAAGGTTTAGTATTCCACAGCGGTTAGCCTCTTTGGTCAGATTTCGAGAGAAACGGAAAGGAAGGAATTTTGATAAGAAGATTCGGTATACAGTCCGCAAGGAGGTAGCTTTGAGGTACATTGATGTCTAAATCGACAACATGGTCTACTTATACTTCTTTTGAGATTGCTCTCCCATTATTAAGGTTCGCATCTTGATTGTTTTTTTTTTTTCTGGTATACAGGATGCAACGCAATAAAGGTCAGTTCACATCTGCCAAGTCAAACAATGACGAAGCTGCATCTGCTGGATCTAGCTGGGCGTCGAATCAAACCTGGGCTATAGAAGGTAGCGAGGCTCAGCATCAAGAGATCTCGTAAGTTGATAAATGCTTTGAAATTAAACTGCGAGTTCCTAACATACTTATTAACTTGAACCAACTTAACGTAGAGATTATGGGTTTGCTAAGCAACTCAAGAAGTTGTTTTCGCTTCCAGAATTAAAAAAACGAGTATCTGACTTATTAAACTGAACCAACCTTACGTAGAGATGATAGGTTTGGTAAGCATCTTGATAAGTTTCTTTTGGTTCCAGAAACGTTGTAGAGGTACTAGAACTCTGAAACCTATCAATGGTTCAATATCAAAACATACACGTTGCATATGTAATATGTAACATGAGCATGGACCTATACGAATTTGTAACATTGAAGGACCAATACAGACAATATATTATTTAAAAGCTCTCCCATACGTGCAGAAAAATGACTACTGTGATAAATGATTGGTTAAGACAGGTTTTGATGAACTAATTTTTGTATCCTGGAACTGAGAAATTTTTATAATAACTTTGGAATAGACAATTGTCGTTTAAGTCTTTGTAGATTTTAGTTTTTCTTCTTGGGCATAGCCATACTGTAGTTGGTAAGAACATATCTGATTTTACTTCCTCTGAATGGCTCTGATACCTGTAAGATGTCGGCACTGTGGAATCGGTGAGAAGTCAACTCCAATGATGAGGCGTGGACCTGCAGGGCCAAGAACACTTTGCAATGCATGTGGACTTATGTGGGCAAACAAGGCAAGATAAAACTTCTTGTTAATCGATCAACTCTCTTTATCTTGCTCATTTTGTAGCACTTGTGATTCGATGATTAGTCTGTCTAAGTGAAGACGACATTTATACTTGTAGGGTGCTCTTAGGGACTTATCCAAAGCCTCTCCTCAAACAGCCCAAAATCTTCCTTTAAATAAGAATGAGGTAAGCAGCATCATGTTTTGACAAAACAATTTGTTATGCAAAAACAAATCCATTTGTATTTATCATCAGACTTGTGCATGTCTGATCTATCTTTGCAGGATGCAAATCTCGAAACTGATCAAATGATGATAACAGTGGCCAATAACATAAGCGACTCACAGTGAGTGAGGACTCGTTAGCTCTTGCCATTACAAGCAAGAGAAGATCTCAGCAGAGTTTGGATCGCCTCAGGTTCTGTAGCTTTATCATTCCTTTTGAAAGAATCTGAGTCGATTTAGTATATCAGGATTTGATCTATGACGATGTAACTTGGGTGATAATGCTATGCGATGTTTGCTTCTTCTTTTTTATGATTCAAAAATGCTTCATAGACTGTTGTTGCATTGGTCCATACTCTGATGTAACGTAGCAGTCTGTGTTTTACCCTGTTATAAAGACAACTAACTTTGTTTAAGAAGTCAGCAAAAGAGTGTCTCCTTATGGCGACAGGGTTTTGGAGACTTAGTAGCCTCATGTAAAGTGAACCATGTTCAATGCCTAAGTCAAGAAACATAAAAAAAAAAAAAAAAAGGCTTGTGATCACTGAATTGTGATATTATTAGCCAAAGGAACTTGCCAAAAGAAAGATTAGAAACGAAAATGGTTCAGTGCGACTGTGACTGCTCCTTTGTTTCAGTGGCAAAGATTTTTACATAGAATTTTGTCTTAAAAGACTTTTAAATATCCCATTTTGTGAGAGATATATTAGATTCCATTTTTTCTTTTTTTATAACTTCAAGAAAAATAGCTCATTTCTTTCAATTTCTTGTCTAGAAAAAAGCTCAGGAATTATCTCATCTTATCATGAAAATCTGAAAATCTTCTCATAATTTCATTTTTTAATAATAATATATTTGACCTTTGCATATACCGGTCAATACATTTCAATTTCCTTATTAGCTACATTACACTTAGAGGTGTCAAGCGGGCCGACAGCCCGCGGGCTTTGTCCAAGTAGCCCACAGCGGGGCGGACTTGGACATCATTTTTCATGCCCATAAAATAGCGGGCCTCGCGGACAAGCCCAGGCGAATTGCGGGTTTTTGCGGGTTTTGTCCACGGATTTGCGGGCCGGCCCGCGGACTACAAATATTTAATAAAAATAAATAATTAATATAAATAAATAAATATTTTTACATAATTCTAAAAATATATATGTGAAATATATGAACATATAACGAAATTTAATGTATAAAATTATAAGATTTACAAAAAATTAATTCTAAAAGTTTTTTTTATTGAAAAATTATTAATTTCAAATTTTAAAAATTAATTTTATTTTTTAATTATTTTTAAAATATTTAAAACTAAACCCGCGGGCCGGCCCGTTAACCCGTTGGGCTTAGCGGGGCGGGCCTGGACATATTATTTTTGCCCGCGGTCCTAGCGGGCCGGCCCACTGCAGTCTCATAAATTTAAATGCCCATCGCGGGCGGCCCAAATGGTATAAAAAGAATATTCTTATAATCTTTGTGGACACTAAAATTATATAAGATCTTCTCATGATTTTTGATTTTAGATTTTTAGGTTTCAAAGTTTAATCTTTTGATACTAAAGTTCACTTAATTTTATTTTTTGTGAAAGATATGATTTTTTTCCAGAATTAAAAAAGAAAAAGAAAAGGAAAGATCTTTTGCTTGTCGTCAAGTTCATGGTCTCATGGACAACACGCAGAGAACAAAGGACCTCCGCCGAGCCCTATCACTCTGAGCTCAAAATCATATCTTCCTCCTTTCGAATTTTCATTACCCAAATCCCAATTCTCCGGGACAAAGAAAAAAGCTTTCTCCTTTTTGGGAATCGTTTGTTCACTTTCCCGGAGACAAAAATCCATACTTGCATGCTCTGAAGACTCTGAAATGCAATCAACACATCGGATTTTGTCTCGCCTCCTTCATTCTCCAGGAAAAGGTTACATCAGAGCTAGTGTCGGTGGCTCAGTTCACTTTTTGGCGCTATTCGACGAGAAAGACAAAGGATTTGTAGATACTCATCGGAGTTTTAGTTCTCTTATCCATTCCAATTCTCACTTAAGAAGGTTTATCTCCACCAATTGTTCAAACAAAGGTCTTGGTGTGCGATGTTCTGTTTCGGAAACACCCTTAATTGATACCTACTCCTCTCACCGGAGTATGTCTTCTTTTCGTTGACCTAAAGTTTTCACTTTTTTTTGTATATTTTGTGGTTTATTTGGTTTGCTTAGGGATACTTAGTTTGGAGAAATTTTAATGTGGTTGCTCGCTTACAGATTTCTTCACTCGGGCGAAACAAGTGAAGAGAATTGAGATCAATGATCAACACAGGTAATGTTCTAGTTAGTGTTTTTTTGTAATGTGAGTATTATCATCGTGTGATCATGTCGTTTAGGTGTGGTTTAAGAAGTTCTAGTTAGTGTTTTTTTTTTTTTTTTTGTTAATAGATATTCATAGTTAGTGTTTTCTGTAATGTGAGTAGTTACTTCGTGTGATCATGTTGTGTAGCTGTGGTTTAAGAAGTTCTATTGAATTGCCGTTAGCTAAATACATTTTGTTAACTGGTTGTTTTGGTTCCAAAAGTGGGTAATTTTATCCGTTCTTGTATCCTCATGAAGATTCATTCTGGTATCTTTTTTGGGTAGAATACAGTGTTAGCTAGCTTCTGTTTTGGGTTCAGTTTCATAGACTTTGTTGTGCTTTAATAGTTTTGTTGCTTGGTGAAGTTCGTTGAGTCAGCCAAGGGAGGTCATGAGAAGAGAAATTCTTCCATGTACTTGGTGTCCTTCTCTTGTGAAGCCCTTTAGCTATATTTTTATTAGGAGTTTTTCCTAACTTCTGAGTTATGCTTTCGTGAACATTTTGCAGTCAAAGAGCTGTCACTACTGCACTATGGTGCAACTTCCTCGTATTTTCACTTAAGTTTGGGGTTTGGTGGACAAGTTCTAGCCATGTCATAATGGCTGAAGTAGTTCACTCCGTCGCTGATTTTGCTAACCAGGTTTGTTGCTGTTATGCTTTTTTGTTGCTCCGGTTTAATATATTGACTATTGAGTGAAGAAAAACTGATATATATATTGATGTTGTAGGCACTTCTTGCTTATGGGCTTAGTAGCTCAAGGCGTGCACCAGATGCCCTTCATCCGTGAGTCTCTAGTAATATTGTATACTCTATGGTAGAAGAGAACAGCTTTCTCTTTTTTGGAAGAATTACTTGGACCAACTTTTTTACTTTTCTCAGCTATGGCTACTCAAAAGAAAGATTTGTATGGTCCTTGATATCTGCTGTTGGCATCTTTTGCCTTGGGTCTGGTGCTACCATAGTCAATGGAGTACAGAACTTATGGACTTCTTCGGTAATTGGCTCGGAATATATTTTGACCTTGATTTCATCTGCTATTGATATTTTGGGTTATTAGATATTCTTTGTACATTTTCTTGGTTGTTCATCAATTTTTGAAAATCTTTCTCAGCCACCTCCGAATATGGAATATGCTGCTTTGGTAATTGGTGGTTCTTTTATAATTGAAGGTATTAACTTTTCCTGATCTTTGTACATCTTGTTATGTGAACCTTTCTTGGAGTTGGAGTAGCTGTTCTTCAATACTACTTGCTGAATATTTGTTAACGTTAATGTCTCAAAGGTGCCTCGCTTCTCGTTGCGATTCAATCTGTCAAAAAAGGAGCTGCTCAAGAAGGGATGACCATAAGAGATTATATATGGCGTGGTCATGATCCTACTTCTGTTGCTGTTATGACTGAGGTATTACTTTATGCTTGGATCTGATTTGAACATATATATATATATATATATAGAAACAGAGTAAATTAATGTTCCTAGAGTGAATCGTTGAAAAACACTGCTAAATTGTATTATGTTCTAATTTGTCTGTTAGTAACTATCATAAATGCACAGGATGGCGCTGCAGTGGCAGGTTTGGCAATTGCTGCCGCATCTCTTGTTGCTGTTAGGATGACAGGAAATCCTATCTATGATCCTATAGGATCAATTGTAGTCGGAAATTTACTTGGAATGGTATGTTTGTACTCTCCTTAACTTGTTAAATTATTACTCTATATATTACATTTCTAAACTAAAGAGTATGAATTCTACTAGGTCGCTATATTTCTCATTCAACGAAACCGACATGCCTTGATTGGAAGAGCAATGGATGATCAAGACATGAGTAAAGTTCTTAAATTTTTGAGGAATGACACGGTACACATTCTGCTTATCATAACTTAGAAGTCTCATATATGACGCATGTAGAGGTGGGCTCAGAATCAAATATTTTGTTGTGTAGGTTGTAGATGCTTTATATGACTGCAAAAGTGAAGTGATTGGTCCTGGATCCTTCAGATTTAAAGCTGAAATAGGTGAGTATTTTGAACTGTTATTTGCTCTCAAAGAATTGGATTGTTCACTTTGCTTGAAAATAAGAAGGGAAAAGACAAAGCTTAGCAAGTGAAGATCATTGTATCGTATTCTGGACTTCTTGAGTGATTCCATTAGGCACTGTATTAATTGCTACATTCAAACAGATTTTAACGGGCAGATGGTTGTCCAAAACTATCTGAAGAGAACTGGGCGTGAAGAGTGGGCGAAACTGGTAACTAAATTTGCAACTTTTATATCATAGTTGTGTCCCTTTAGCTTATGAACAATCTGTTAACTTCCAAAATTCTGAAAATTGATGGTATATTTACTCAGTTTCGGGAGGCCGCACAGAAAGGAGATGATTCTGCAATGCTCAAGATTATGTCAAACTACGGTACGCAAATGTCAAGTTCTACTTCTGGATTTGCCATAGTTGATGTTCCAAGCTTGAAAAAGAAGTAAAAAACCAAATAATCTGTTGTAGGTGAGGAAGTTGTCACGGCTTTAGGAAGTGAAGTAGACCGGTTAGAGAAAGAGATCCAAGAGCTTGTCCCAGGAATCCAGCATGTTGACATTGAAGCACACAACCCCACAGACCCGTCTCTATGATCTGAAAAAAGAAACTCGCTTAATTCAAGGTCAGATTATCGGATTATCGATTCATTATTTTGTTCCATTCACTTGGCCTGAAGAAATGCAAGCCACAAGTATGATTGTGGTAAATCCTGGCCTCTTGGAGAAATAGAAGAGTGTTATTTCAGTTGTGTGATTGGGAAAAAAATTTGCAAATGGATTCTTCTCTTACCTTGTTTCAGGTGTAGAAGACTTATAAAAGTTAGAAGTCTCATGAGTGTTGATGTTATATTCTATGCACACAACAACAACAACAAAAAAGCTTGTTACTTGTAGAAACATTGAGATGTAAGATCGATATTATTTTATATGTACACGATACTAGTGTTTTGGTATTTCGTCGTATTCAGTATTTAGATAATTTGGTGTAGTCAAACCGTTTGACTAAGACCTAATGCCTATGTTCACATGACTCAAACCAAAGCAAAAAAAAAAAAAATTGTCTTTATACAGATGGAATATAACTGTTTGGTCAAAGTTTACACGATCACATTGAAATGAGAATCGTAATATTATTTTTTCGTGGAAACGCGTAAGTTGACATTAAGAAGTTGACTAGGAAAAATTCTGCTGCTCTTTTGTATTTTATGGCGATGGTGTGTATTGGTGTTTCTAAGAAACAGATAAACCAGTTTGCATTGTAGGCGATGACGGAAGCGACAGGCCTGAGGCGTTTCTTTTCTAAGTTCATTTGCTGTGTGTCCAATGCACAAGATCAAATGTTTAGGAACTATAATTTATATCCAATAACTTCGTTTTTCTTACCATTTTTCCCCAACTTTTCTTTGCAGGTGATGCAGACGATTCGACTATTGAATATGAACCATATGTGTACATTCCAGCGAATAGTTACTCGTATGCCGAGGTTACGAAAATTACAAACAAGTTCAATAGAGTTCATGGCAAAGGAGGGTTTGGTGTAGTTTATCGTGGAGTTTTAAACAAGCAACAAGTTGCAGTAAAGATGATAAACCGAGCATCCGTCTACAACATTGTACAGTTTACCAAAGAGGTAACTGGATAAAAGCAGGAAATTATTGCTTCCCTGAAGAAAAAAAGTAGATTTTCATCGGTTGAATGTTTTGTTGCTCGATCAGGTTCATGACTTTGTAAAAGTTCGTCACAGAAACTTGGTGAGCCTCATTGGGTATTGCGATGATGGTGAGCACTTGGCCCTAATCTACGAATTCGTGGCAAATGGAGACTTGAATGATCAACTATCTGGTATGAAACTACATTCTAGTTTTGGTTTGTTCTTCAAGTTGTACGAATACCAGAAGATAACCGCATTTGCTTTCGATGTAACAGGGAAGTTTGGTAATGTCCTGAGCTGGGAAAGCAGGTTGAAAATCATCATTGGAGTAGCACAAGGTAACTTAAACTGCAGTGATTGAACCAGAGTTTCTCATTCATGGTGGAAACTGATATTTGTAAAGTGCATTCACAGGTCTGGAGTATTTGCATAGCGAGTTGCGAATCCTTCACAGATATGTTAAGCCGACAAATATCCTACTAGACGAAAATTTTGAAGCGAAATTGGCTGATTTCGGATTGTCTAGATCCTCCCCAACCAACCCTGACACAGAGGCGTCAAATAAGATTTATGTCAAGCCTGGAAGAGATCCATATCTCGATGACCAGTAAGAAAAGATACATATTTTCCTCAGTACTTTTAATGGACTCGAAAATGTTACTCAGTGGGTGTATTGGATAATGCATATACTTCAACTCGAACTGGTTAACCCAAACGAGCGACATTTATAGCTTTGGCATTGTTATGTTGGAGATGATAACCAATCAGCCTGTGGTTGACAACAACCGCGAGAGTCCTCACATTTCAAAATGGGTCGATTTAAAGGTCGCAAAAGGCGATACTCTAGAGATTGTTGATCCCAGGCTAAACAATGACTTTGAGCCTAACTCAGTCAGGAAAGCTATGGATATAGCATGCAGTTGTGCAGCTCGTGCTCATAATAGGCCAAGCATGAGCCAGGTTGTTATAGAGCTCAATGAGTGTCTAGCCTTAGAGAAGGCTCGAAGTATTGGAAGAACTGGGGAGATAACTCAGACTCAGTGAGCAATATGACCATGAGTTCAATTATCTCAACATTTTCATCTTAATTTCTTTTGTTGTAACCGTCATCATCACATTTTCCGTATCTTTGCTTACCTCTTTTCTCTCTAAAAGAAGAAAAGACAAATCGTACATTGCATTGTTCAGGCATGGTTGCTGCATTTTGTCCACTTTATAGCTGTTCATTTTCAGTAATGTTTAAACAGCGAACAATGTCTCGCTGTATCTTCTATGTTCCTCCTTTGACTATGATGTCTCTCTCCAGTCGACCATACGGTTATGACATAAACAGTATGCAAAAGTTATATGAGCCAATAGATTCAAATTGTAACTTCAACAGTTTACTTTCCTTACCTAAACAAGGCAGCTACCCCAATGAGAATACTTTGACTAAAAATCGAATTGGTATGGAGCTAAACTTATCAATAAACAACCGGAAGAAAAACTGGTGACTAGATTGGCTTACATTTGGTGAGAAGACCATTTCACAGATTTTGGCTTCAAGATCACTTTAGCAAAACATTTCCCTCATAAGTTACATCAGAGAAGTTCAGCAAAAGCATGAATACGCCAAGTGGTTCTTCTTTGATATGTAGGGAGAGATGTAATTAGTGGGAACACCGGATGTCCCTGAGATCTCGGCTGGAACGAGAACTTGAGGCTTGCCTAAAGCTATCCTTTTTCCAACTGTGTTGGCGTAAAACAGACCGGGAATGGCTGGCACAAATACATCACTCCTTGAACTTATGTAGAAGTCAATAACATTTTCATATTCAGAATTTTCTAATTCAAGGTACTTCGATTTCTTATCTGACGGCATTATCGCCTCCTGCCATTTTTCAGAAAGAAAATCGAGATTAGCAAATAGGTGGAAACTTCAGAGACTAAAGAGTAAAAAAATTTATGCACCTTAGTATATGTTTTTGGGAAAATGTCCTTAAGAATATTGAGGCTGCTCTCCCATCTTGGCTGAGTCAGATATATAGTTGTATCGCGGTCAAATCCAAGCTTCCTCAAGAACAATGCAATCTCTTGTGCGTTGTAACATGTTTTGGATCCCACAGCACCTGTTTCATGGCAATTTTTCTTTTCAAGTATCTCAACCCTCAAGTCTATGGCTATGAAACGGCCACCAGATTTCTTGCTATGTGTCTTCAACCGCTGAATCATCGATTCAACCAATTCATTCACTCCCGGTTGCAACTCCAAGGAACCAAACATTGCCAAACAAGAGACAGGGTCGGTTTCAGCACCCTGCGAAGATTTCCTCAAATTCACAGAAGGGAAATAGGTTGTAACTCTTATATTCCCTTTTGATTTGAAGATGGGATCAATATGTTCCTTGATGTAATCTTCTGCAACTCGGGTAGGAACCTTAACAATGGCGATATCTCTTAGAGATACATGGCTCGGCAATTTTCTTACAACTTTGACGACACTTTCCAAGCTTTTAACGATTTTATCCACATCATAGATGTCTTCAAAGTTCCTGGTCAAGCATTTCAAATTTGTTCATAAACCTTAGAAAAACAAACAATTCAGCGAAACCAAAATGTTTATGAAAATATAAAAAACCACTAACATTTCATCACCAGGTTTGCTTCCTCTAATGTCTGGAAGCACAAGAGTTGCTCCAAGATGCTTCGCCACCATAACGGCATCCGTAATCTAAAGAAGATGATAAAGTTAAACAACATAAAACATCAGTGGAAAGCCAGATTGAGTTCACAAATTTGAAACTTTAGAGTTAGTATAAAGGATACCTGAGAAACATGGTATTCAGGACCATTCGTTAAGGAGAATGTAACATAACCCTTCGACGATACAGCTTCATCTGCAAACACCAGAAACATTTAACACAAAATCAAACCAAAAACCGCAGAGAAGATTTAAAAAGAGAACAAATCTAAGGTTTGAAATATATACCAGATTGAGATATAGACCAACAAGGTTTAAGTCCATGGCTATCTTCCATCCAAGGACCTTTATTCCCACCTTCAAAGGCTCTAACAAGTCCATCTTCAACAGCTACTCTTGATCCCTGGAATTCAATATCATGTGCATCTCCTTGAACTTTTTCCTGTAAAAACCACAAAGAACCAAAAATAAGAACTTAAGAGAAGCATTTGGAGAATTTAGCTACCAATAGAATCAAAAAGCCCGAAGCTTTCACAATCAATTTAGAAGAAAAAAAACAGCTGAATCAATCATTATCTCCAAAGTCTGAACCTTTATGATCAATGCAATCCGAATTCGATCCAAAATGCATAAAAATTGGGTTTTTATTGAAGAAAATCTAACTAGATCTGCTTCTCAGAGAAAGATCCAAAAGAAAAGAAAAAAAACGATCACTTGAATTTAGCTCAGTCACTATCGCATGAGGGTTAATTAAAAATACCTGAACAGCATCAAAGTAATCTCTATGAAGCATTTGTCCGAGCATCACAAACATGGTAATGGTCAGAATTCCAGCCACCACTTGCCTCAAATCCACACCCATCTCCTTCTTCTTCTTCTTACACTCTCCTTATCTTTCTCTTGAAAAATGGGTTTTTCGAGAGGGTTTCACGGAAATTGAGGAGAATTACGAAAAAGAAAGAGAGACAAGATTTCACAAATCTGAGTCCCTTTTGATGATTTTGTCAAAAGACAGTTTTTTATTTATTTATGTATTGGGGTTATATATTGTCAGTGTTCTCAAGCTTTGCCTTAAGAACAAAACACAGCCACCGACACTCTCGCCGTGAATTCTGGTATTCAACTCAACCGGTTTGTTTTTATCAACCGGATATGTACCGATTTTGAGGTCAGTTAACCGGATTTGTACCGTATCGAACCAAAATTAGTCAACAAATCTAATCTGTATTTTTATGTACTTACGAAGTGGTTTGTTTTGATTTAATAAAAAAATGAGAAATCTGTAGAAGTCACATTTTTTATATTTCCCTTAATTGATTTTTGTCGTCTTCTATAAATTAATTAATTATCAAATTTTTAAGGAATATAATAATGATTCCCTGAATCGTATAATTTGTCAATTTATTAATTAAAATTGACAAGTGACTTGCCAGTTGCCACTATTAATTACTGTCTTTTTAAGCGAGATTGAATTAATTGACAAATAGAGTACAATTAAGTTTTATTTTCTTGTTGGTTTTAAAGTACAATTAAGCTCCGAGATTTTCATAATGAAATGTGTATAATTGTGCAGAGAAGTGTTAACTTAACGGTAATAAAGTTTTGCAGCGGAATAAATTACGAAAGTAATCTCGAGCAGTGGTGAAGTTAGGAACTAAATGTATAAGAATAAACAAAAAATTAATTACGATATATTATTTCTATTAATTTTTAATATTTTATTTCATGAAATTAAGTGATCAAAAATATAAGTATGATACAAGAACCCTAACCTAGAATATTCTAATCTTTGTGGGTCATTTTTTGTTCCCTTTTTTCCCAAATTATCACGCCATCATTACATTAATCATGTCTCATGTATTCTAAAGATAAATTTGACATGAACATTTTTTTCTTTGCAAATAAAATGGAAGAAAGCTAAGTACAAAATAATTTTCATCCAAAAGTCTTATAAGATCGATTGGATCAGACAAAAAACGATAAACAATTACCTTGGACTATATTATGTGATAATGTTTATTCTATATTTTATTCAAAAAATTAAAGCGAAAATTGGTCTACCTAATCCAATTTATTTATTTTTCAACTATAAGTTCCTGCAAAATTTGGTGTAATAGCAGTTAGTTGGTGAAAAATAGTGTACGAGACAAACAAAACTACTATGGCTTTGGTCTTTGTCTCTATTGTTAGAGTGAATAAGGAAATTAATGGAAGGCGAGGAATGTGTTATATGGCAACACTTTAGTAATTAGATTTCTTTGTCAAATTGATGACATAATCATCATACACATATTTTGATGTCTTTCCGGGATTGCCTCCTAAAAAGTAGGTCTGGGCATTTGGGTATTCGGGTCGGGTTCGGATCGGGTTTTTCGAGGTTGGGTCTTTCGGGTTTAGAAATTTTGGACATGTTGGGTTATATGTACAATTTCGGGTCGGATTCGGTTCGGGTTCATTTCGGATCCGAGTAATTCGGATATTTGTTAAAGAACCCGTAAATAACCAAAACTATTTCGGGTTTGAGTACTACTTACCCAAACTTTGTCCAAATATATCCAAACAAACATAAAAGTATCCATAAAACCCGAAAGATCTGAAATTATAACAAGTTGTTCCTTAAAATAAAATATAAAACAAGAAGTAAACCTTGTTTTGAGTTTTTTTTCATAACTTAAATCATTAAACAAGTCACAAATTCAAGTTATTAGTGCATATATGTCCTCATATGTGTATATATGTTCGAGTAATAAAAAGTACTCACGGGTACCGGGTTCGGTTCGGATAATACCTGATACCCACAATTATTTGAAAACAGAACCCGATCGAGTAATTAGCCGGAACCGAAGTAGAACGGGTTCGGGTAATTCGGGTCGGGTTCGGTTTGGTTCTTCGGGTTCGGGTATTATGCCCAGGCCTACTAAAAAGGATGACACTAAAGTATGAATATGGTTTTATGTATTTGTAAGACTTACCAAGCATTAACCTTTCTGAAATTCGTTAGTTCGGATGACGAAATCAAAAGTTATATATTAGATAATGACATATAGTTTAGTAGTTTGTGACAATATACTAATATTGTAGCTAACAAGAAATAAAAATAATATATTATCGTTGTGTCATTATCCAGATTCAAACTTACATAGTGCATGTTATTGATAAAAAAAAGTGTGTTAGTATTAATATTGGTTAAATATTAAAAAAACAAAGACTACAAAAGTAGTTAAAATTTAAAAAGGTTGTTATCATAATTTATTGGTTAAAAATAAAAAATTATGATCTCATTGTGTTTCTCTAAATAATTTTTTTTCCTTAGTAAGGTTTTTTGGGCTTATCAACCTCTCTACAAGCAAATGTAACTAGTAGCATCAAAGTAGTGCAAGATAAGGCAAATTTTACCAAGCTATCATCAAATCTAATTCGAGCTTCAAGGTCTTCAAAACTAAAAACTAAGGAGATTAAATCGAACTCTTCTTGAACTCGTTTAATTTTTCGATAAATCGAACTCAAAGAGACGAAACTATTCTTATTTGATAGGCACACAATTAAATCATTGCAGTCTAAAACAAATCCTACTCTTTTGAAGCCCACTCTATGAATAA